CCTGCTCTACTGCAAAGACCGTGGCACTCATCAGACCTAACGGCACTTTGACAAACTCCTTACAGTAAGAATGAATGATTGTAAAGACCCCCCGGATAGTCACTGCAAATTCCTTACAATGTGTTAAGAATACCTGAAGAGAGGAGGATGGAGGAGGTATTAGTTGTAGTACTGAGAGGATAAGCCGAGATTTTAGAACTGACTAATCCAGCATGGACACACCAAATCTATAGGTACATGTACCCACTGGGATCGGACCTAGTGGGACCAGATTTTAAGCGGTCAGCTCATAAGTCTGACACCTCATAATTCCAATGCCTCACAAGACCGAAAAAGGCGTTTAAAAAGTCCATAAGTCCGACGCCTCATAGGTCTCACCTATGGACCTATGACCTATGAGGCGTCGGACTTACGATACGCACCCGATTTTAAAGGCAAGCAGAAAATCAGTTTGATAGTTTTCTGTCATTGTACTGACTTGCTGCCTTTTCTTGAGTCAGTAAGCCTACCTGGGATCATAAACGAACAATCAATGAAAACCTCTTTGGGACAAGTAACAAGCCTTATTTTGTACTTATTCATTGCCTGCCTTAGCACAACAAAGTAAATGTTGGCCGATGCTAATACGTCCAAGGGTTGGTTTCTTTAACAATCCCCCACCCATACCTCCCACCCACACAACTTCTTATCTCCTTCCTAGGGAACAAGAACCTTCTGGGAAGTAGTCTCAGTTGGTATTGATGGAAATTACTGGCACAAGATGGTGCCCACAAAGCAATAATGCGTGGGTGTGATTGGAGGGGGAAAGATTAGGACGTATTGGAAAACGCGTGATACATGTCTTTATGGTAGATTTTAGTCTATGAACTGACAGTCTTCCTCAAAAGATGGATGTCGTCTGGAAAGATGATGACGATGACGCAAACTTTAGTTTAAGCAGAAATAGTAGGGAACGCAATTTTGGTGGCACTGTGATTACTTTCAGGGCCACACCACAGAGGAATTTGTAGGGCAACTGAATGACATCTGTAAGGGTGGGTTTATTTATTAACCTCCAAAGTGCCAATTCAAAAAAAATAATTAAAATGAAAAAAAAAAGGAAAACAGACACATTTGAACTTCTTTCCCCTTTAATCATCTAAGAATTTATTTAAAAAAGGAAAGCTACCAGATGAGATTTCTGGACGCAGTCTCCGAGTTTACACCACTGCACATGTTATGCACAAATAATGGAGACACTGAAGAAAGACATCGTCATCTACCTCTGTGCAAACACTTTAACCCTCGGACACATGGCCTTATACTCCAGAAAAGCCCTGAGAAAATGAATTCTCCTTTTGATCTCTCCACCAGCAGACGTATCCCGGTGAGGGTATCAATCCCACATTGGCACACCCCGCCAGGCGAGCCTTGATATCCTTTCCAGGAAGAAAGTTACAGGTGCGTGGGTACGATGGACCCCATGGAAGAACAGACTGATATGAGAGTAATCAGCACAGCCGTGGGGGGTATTTCCAAGAGTGTTACTTCAACTGGCAACCCCAAACAGAAAATCTTGGGTATCCGAAATGGAGATCCCTGTGGGTTTCAGGGAAGCACCTACACGGACTTACCAAGTTTCGTTAATTTTGTTTGGTCAATGACATTATTTGCAAGAAAACAAGAAAACCGCATTCAGCTTGAAGTTTTGGACTTCATATTTAAAGAATATAGCCTAGGCTACATGCATGTACCGTTGAGCCAAATTAACACTGGGACATTAAAGTATACACAGTGTAATGAAATACGTACATTTGTGTATTAAAGTGTCGATGAAAATACTATGGTCCTTGAAAATGCATCTTTGTATTTTTCGGCTGGTTGGAAAGTTTTAGAGTACGTGCTCTTGTTGGTTTTATGTCGATTCAAATTCCCATTTTCTTGAGCAAAACTGTGATGCCATTCCAGGGAGAAAAAAAACATGTTGCATCATGGATTTGTGTGCAAAAACTGCTGGAATTTGTGACATTTTCCGGTTCTAAATTTCCTCTTCTTTGATGACTCATTCAATGAGTCCATGACAGCAGACCAACAAGCAACTCTTTCCCAGAAATGTTTTCACCGAGTGATTCTTGGATTTGCAATTTGAACAGAAAAAAAAAACCTGTAAAATGAACCCCCGAATGGGTGTCGCATTGTTTTCATGCACTAAACACGAGTATGGATTTGCACAAGAAAGTGTGAGGAAATATCATTGCCCAGACCCTCAAACGAGCAAAGTGTTATTTCATTCATATGAGAAGTCTTCAGAAAATATATCAATGTGTGCAACTTCACTGCCATGCAGGATTGTCAGTAGAATCACAAAGAAAGCATAGAAAGCGTAATGCACCTGTTACACGTCCAAATTGATGAAGATAGATAGGAGACATCACACAAGGGTGCATCAGTGGGAATGCTTCATTTCCACCCTTTTTCACAGGTGAGGCAACTGGCTGAAGCAAACACAAGTCACAAATTTAATATCCTACTAACAATCTAGGATTGCGTAGTTTCAAGGTGTGACTTCTTATGCCTTGAACTGACTGAACTCTCAGGCAAGGTTTTATTTATTTTCCCAAGGTGTCAAAATAGTAAAAATTGACAGCCCTTTGACTGATGGTGTTGCAGCAAAGCAAACAGGTAATGGTTCACATGGACAGGGCCGGCGACATTCTGTACTGGCAATATAAAGCCCGGTGAGGTTATTTCAACATGATCCAAAAATATGTCTACTTCCATGACCTCCCGGCCCACTCAAAATGTTACTGGGCTTGACTGGTGTCCATGGGAAGGAAGCAGAGTTGCTCTCTAATGATAATTTTTGCAAATGACCATGTAGTGAGCCGGCAAGCTGTCAAGATTCAAATCTTTCATCTTCCTCCCACTCAGATATTGCATTACCGGGCCAATTTCAGTGTGAATGCCTTGAGCGCGGTTCAAGTCCTAAACAATTCAATGAAACAATAACATCTTTGAAACCTGTAAACAAGACGACCCCAAAACGATTCATATCTTTCAGTTCTCCCTCAGTGAAAATATCACATTGTCCGAATGTTGAGTTGACAAACAGAATTTGGAATGTCGGATTACTTATAAATAGAATAACATGACAACAAGCAATCTAACAGTACACTTAGGTCAAAATGTAATATTACCCCAATTAACCTTTTGCTGTAATCGTCAAAAACAGTCAAAAATTCTGTCTTACTGTGTAGTACACAGACATATCATATGTCACTCGACTGATTTTGACTGGTAGGACTACTGTGTCAAGAATGCATCTTTGCATAGGAGGGTTCTCATACCAAAATCTCATTGCCACAACTTGGCCAACTGAAAGTTATATGGTTCAATGAACATTCTCACAACAGCTGAGATAAAGAAGTGTTACACTTTTGGGGGAGGAGCTCTAAGATTCTCTATAGATAGTGGCAATGGTTATTTTTGGAGGGGCTGACCTTTGGAAACATTTGGGAATTCTCACGAAACTTGGATGAATCATCAGGAAGTCTTCCTCTACACTACAGACACATTTCCCTCAAGAGTAACTCTGCAACATTAATTACCCTGTACAAATTGTAGGAAATGTGTTGAAAAGAATGTAGTACCTGTCACAACTTTTCCTTCATATGGTATCTCCATAAAGGTCAGTTATCCAATTGAAAAGTTTCAATTCTGCAGAATGGTACTTGGAAACTGTTGTTGATACTCCATAGACTTTGTACACAACCAAAGGAGTGCCGTCTCATTAATTTTTTCCAGAACTCTGTGATAAATTGCAGAATTTCCCAGAGGTCTCCTCTACTTTCAGCAAATAACAAAGAGTTACAAGGTTGAATCAATCAGTGTATCCCTCAGCTCCCTGGATCCGCCCTCACACACTACAGGGCCCGACGGTTATAATAAAATTGGTTGCAAAGAGTTTAAGTGAAGTCATCCTCATTTGTGATTGATACTTCTAGAGAATTGCAGCAATTTCAGCATAGGCTATGTTCTCAAGGTAGAATCTCTGCAGGAAATTGTTTGATGGATTTATTTCTGTCCAATGAAGAAAAGGACCAAGGGAAATGTGGTTTGAGATGGCATGGGAAAAACCACTCGACACAATACCCGACCTTGGCTAGGTGCATCACCCCAGGGACTGATGTGTATCACGCTGTGAAATATGCAATACTCCAGCCACAGCAAATGAGCCCCGTTTTCTTTTCAGCTTTGCACGCCTCACTGCATGCTGGGCAGAACAAATTGAAGGTCTTGATCCTAGCGGCAATTTTTCGGACCTTTCAACTTCTGGAAACGGGGTGATTCAAGAAGTCTAACAATTTTACTGAAGGATTGTACTCCCACAAGAAGAGTGAATGGCCAAACCTAAAGCTGGTTTTAGTCCGATCCTGGATGACCTAATTTGCGAGTGACCCGAAATGAATTGCTGTAGAATTTATGGACATCCGTTGACTTTGGGATTGAGTAATGCACGAACAGAAATCATGTATAAAGCAATTAAGCAGAGAACTTTGGGGAAAATTAATCCAAGTTTGATTTTCCAAAGCATCAATCCTGATGTCTCAGGGCGAAAGATGAGCGAAACGGTGAAACCAACTGAAAACTGTACAAACCTACAAAAGATTGGCTGAAACTGAAAGCACAAATCTAGTTTGGGGGTCACAGGAGAGCAAGAAGACATTTTCTCTTGAAAAAGAAAGACCCATCGGCGTTCCAGAGTTGAGAACTTTCACTTCAACATTTTGAAAATGGATGAATCATGGGTGAATTCATACCTAATTTGATCGTTCAATGACCGAAGACATCCAAAGAACATGGACTCCAGATCTCCAACAATTGTCACCGTTCCAAAAGTGGAATTCTTTGATACCGTCTCCCCATGAAAAAAAGAATCCCGTCTCGTTAAGATTTCCGACTGAGGAGTGTCATGCTTTATACATTATTATGGGTTCTTTCATAAGGTGTGGGGTACTTACGTGATGCACTTGAGAAGCTCACAGAAGCAGAGCGACACACACCCACCACCTCCGCTGAGTACATGTATGGCTGGCTTCAAGCTTCGAATGTCCATTTAATTGCAATCGACATAAAAGAGATGTTCGGCATTTGTTAACTTTCAAGCGTTGACTTTCTGCCTTGTCTCATTCAATATTCGGCCATTCAACACTTGTGGCAGAAATTCCACGTGGGGAGCCTAGCGGGGCCGGCGGGCCTACGCACGTTTAGGAACATGCTCATCACAATGCGCAGCTCTTCAGTAACTGACCACAGGTATTCTAGCTATGTCCTCCACTACTACATGTAGGTCAAAGCACTCTACAGCCTTTCAAACGATGCCAGCCCCTTTCCTTTGCTGCAGAAAACTTAGGTTATCCGTAACAAGAAATTTTTCATGCGGTACAGCGACGAGGGAAGACAAGAAATCCATGAAACCATTCAACAGAGGGGTCTTAGTAATAGAAAGCCAAGACTTTACCGGGTTTTCTGGAGTTCTCTCGCAAATGGCCGATTACTGAGCAGCTTTCTTTTCACCAAGGCATTGTACGAAATGAAGGATGTTGAAAAAAAAACACAATTAATACTGAAAAATTCAAGCTTTGCGGGTCAAACCACACCCAAACGGATGTTAGGTTAACAGGCCAAACACAAGAATCCTCCAAAACTTTCTGTATGTAACTTATAAGACGACGGCAATTCTTTGCACTTTGTTTTACTGGGGGTTTCTTGTACAAAGTCAGTCGCTGACTGTACCTTCACCCCTGGACTTTCCTCGAATAAATCCTCAAATCATGTGGCGGTTTGGATTAAATGTATCTCCTTTTAAGTGAAGCTCATGGCGAGAGTTTGTGCTCTGAAGTCTTCCCTCCCACTCTTAACGAAAAAACGGTAGTTAATGACATGTAGTTCACGTCTTAGAGTGACTAAAACCCTCTAGAAAATTAGATGAGCAGTATTTTGTCTCAGCAATTTTTTAACCTAAAGAAAGGAAAATTTCAACTGAAATAATCTGACAACTTGACAACCAAACTGCAAAAGCACATTTTCATGTTTAATGCTTTCATTTGACACGGACGATACTGAACAGTGGGAACAAAAAAGGAACTTCAAAATTCACTGACTGTAAATTCAAAAGGTTCAAAGGATACTTTTAGATACATCATTACATGGAGTAATTAATACAAAAAATATGAATAATGGATAACCAGGTGGGATATAATGGGATATCACAAATAATACATATTCATTATACAATTTGGATTAAATTTTAGGAGATAAATTTCATAAATTCCATAAACTACACTTTAGATTACTAGAATAATACCTCTGTAACTTTAGACATAACGATTTGGCTGGAAAGTTCAGCAATTACAAAAATAGCTGGGTGCAGCCTCTTAAAATCGGAAAACCTTGGGAAAAGTGCAGTGTATCCATTCTGCCCCTCACGTATAGATAATAGTGTGGATTAAAGGATATTTGCAAATCACTGAATGAAGGCCTCGTCTTTCGTCACTTTGATTTATGTACTTATGTACACGTACTCCTAAATACTGGCCATAATACTTTTGCATCGGCTCACGTGTACCAAAACAATGTGTTTATCTTTAACAATGAAAACAAAACAAAAACAAGCTACAATTGGCACTGAGGGAAATTGCAAACGATGACAGTTCCTCCAAGAATTTTTCAAATTCAATTTAAATGACCACCATATAATATAGCAGTGGTTGGTAGCCAATGTACAAAAATTGACATTTCAAATGTAATTTCTGATATGACTGTCATAACTTAACCTTGATTACAAAACATATAAACATAAAATTTGTACAATTGCTGATGCTGTGAATTTGCATTGATGAAGAGGCAAGGTTCTTTACGAAGAAAACAAAAATCAACAAAATAACCAGAGAATCTGGATATGTACCCAAATTCCCCCGCAAGCATCAATTCCCCTGACTCAAAATTTCCAGTACACTTCATCACTACCAACCCGAGCTGCGTACAACGCAAACTGCATTCTGTGGCCAGTGCTAAAGGTATTCCCATGGAAACCACCGTTACTTGACTGGCCGTGAAATTTGGATAAAGTCACTCTCCCTGCATCTGCGCCGACAATTGCCATGAATTGTGCATGAATGCATCACTGTAAATGAGAGAGCATTCACAGTCCGCATTGTAAGAGCAAGTAACATGCATAATTAAGTGGGTTTGGGTTTGCAGAGTCCCGGAAACCAACCAAAGTCGTTTTTCAGGACAATTACAATGTTTATGAGTCAGAGGTACATGTAAGGATATCTATACCAGTTTCCCTCAGATGCTAATGGAAGTGGCCTGGGCGAAGAGACGAGGCCGTCAACCATTCAAAGCACCCGGAGGTCAACTTGGTCTTACCAGTGGATATTCACCTAAACAAATGAACCTGCATATATCCAGAATTAGGGGGGGGGCATGATTAATGGGCCGCTGAATATTTTATCCATTATTGCCCAGGAAATAGTCAGCAGCAGAAAGGAACCATGCAATAAGCAAGTTGCAGGGAACTGTTTGGTATAATGGAACCAACATCATTGTAATGACATGCAACAATTAACGTCAACTGATGAATGATTTACATTGACAGACACCTGCAGTGTAGAAATTCCTGTTCCTTAAAGTTTCAGATAAACTTACTATGTTCATGTACAGGGTACCTTGCAGTCATGCACATTGTGGACATACAGTGTACAGATGCCGAGTTCATCTCTGTAAGATCTAAGGACTTGTCATGAAATGTGGTAAAATTTTTTATTTTCAGGGACCTGGAGGTGTCTATTAAAAGCAACAACACCACTGCTTTGAAGAGAGCACCAAAAACCTATAAATACAAAGTCTTTTGATGAACATCAGAACTGCTCCAAGGTTCATTATGTATTACTCTAGGAAATGAGCCCGTATTAAAGAAACCTAAGCTCAATGGAAGAAGTATGACGTGACCACTTCCAATATCAATTCTGGTAACTCTTCTGCTGACGTAATTCGTAGCATCGAACCCCGGGACAGAGATCTGATAGAGGCACCGCGGCACCAAGTTCACAGTTTGACGGCCTCGATATCTTGCTGATTGTTAAACTACGTTTTCTTCTCTCGCTTTCCAGAGGATGACATGCCACGAATATCAATTCAGCAAGGAATTTCTTCAGGCCAATGGGAGGGTTCCTCTTTGTTTTTTTCCAATCTGTGTTTGTGGCCATTTGACTTGGCTGGTATTAGGGGCACAGCTGTTGCTTCTCAAGGTGAGAATTTGACAGGATTTTTCAAATTGCCTTTCCCCCCCCCAGGAGGAGGGCTTGTACCGGTATGTTAGTGGTCAAAGCAATGCATGTTTGTGTTCAACGTGTAGGATTTGTGTTTTCAAACAACCAAAGTGTTTGGGCATTTTCGGGAACAGTGTGAAGATCCACGTAACGAGGCAAAGGATGCCTTAGAATTTCAGTGGGCTGCACACATGCAAACACCATTCCACATTCAGTTCAGATATGTGGCTATAAATAATATGGAATACATAGAACTTTTAAAAAACAATCGGGGGAGGACTGTACATAAAGTTACCAAATACTGATGATATGTATCAGGTGACGCTTGTGTAAGAACCGACATCTCATTCCCCACTTGCCCAAACATCACTTGCATGAAGCATTATGCTTTATGAACATCCAGGTTTGGGAAATGATGACTGGGTACTTTGTTGCTACATGTAGATCTAAAAATAAATGGTATGGCTAAGCAGAGGATGAGCGGTCGTATAGGGTATGAGCCTGAAGGATTTCCTGTTCTTCATCCGGGTTTGCACAAAGCTGTCGGGCAACGCTTCAAAATAATTACATGTTTGTATTGAAGGATTTTCCGGCTACAATTGCAATGAACCATACTGGGTAAAATTCTGCAGCCCTTTACCAGTTACAATACCCTGCAGTCTCTTGTCTGTCGAGACACTCGTGTGGAAAGACCAGTGGAATTGCTCAAAACAAATGCCACCTTAAATAAATTGAGCCAGAAAAACAGATACATCATGAGCACGTTTCAAGAAAATGATGTACCTATCGGTAACTTCAAAGCCCTTGGATTGCTGAAAAATGAAAACGTTATCTTTTTTATTTTGTGCTGTACAGATTGAAAACGTGCTACACGTAGGTGTACATTGCATGTCTTAATCAACATGGTAGGGGAGTCACAGCAAAGGTACTATTAGATTTACACCACCTGGAAGGATCATTACTGACAGGAGTACAAATATGTGATCCATGCAAACAGGAATACTGGTACCCGGCACACTGTTTGATTTACTGACTACTGATACAGTTTGGGTAACATCACAATGAAAATAGAATTGATACAAAGGGCTGCTCTGTTTTACTGATCCCCAAAATATAAACCATTTAAAAATATAATTAATGCACCCAGGAATACGGAAAATATACGGTTATCTGAGTGAGTCTGTTATGGCAAGTAAACATTGACCTTGGTCTAAAGAGCTTAGAATTACTGGTACAAGTACTCATGCAGTGGAAGTTATATTGATCTAATATTCGTAATACAAAACAGGGTGGCCAGCAACATTCTAAAGCACGGTATGTATCACGTGTTTGTACTGAATGCAATCTGACGTTTACCACTGACATGTTTGTCCCGAACCACACACCGCAGTTGGCAGTGAGCCTCATATTAACGCCAATCCTTCAAAATCCTTGAAAAATTCCGTCGCCCCAATTTAGTGAGCCTCTGAGGACAAACCATCAGTCACAGCCTTATTAATCTTTAAATCATGCACAAATGCAAAATTCTGCTAGGAATTTTATAGTTTTACCACTATGTACAGTGTATACGTACATTCAGCTGAAGAACTCTTGCAAAATTTCATCATATTAAGGCAGCCTCCATGAAAACCAGAGCTCAACAGGTGAAAACAAAAACTGAGTTCAAACTTTCATTTCCTTTTGGAAGAGGTCATGTCAGTTACACCTCCAAAAACC